CACCCCCACCCTCGCCCTAAATCTTTAAATCGGTTCCGGCTTTCTTTCATTTCATTCAAATTCATCATTGAAGTCGGAAATCAACTCTCTACACAAATAAGCAATGTAATTGAATGTACCATATTATCTTCCCATTCACCTTACTACGAATTTTAATGTGAGGGTAATGGGAAATAAAATTAGGCACGATGACCAATTATCTACTTTCGGGACTTTGCCTGACCTCAGAATAACTGTGGCTGGATTGGTGGATGCCACTGGTCGGTTCTACTTTTCACACCCTCTGCTGTTTCTGCCTGTATAAGTTTGCTTTTTTCTTCCCTACTCTGAATAACCGTAGTGCGTCAATATATAATATATATATATATATATATATATATATATATATATATATATATATATATATATATATACACATACATATATATTTCTATATAATGTGCTTCGCTTTACTCAAACAAACCATTGCTATAACCTGCGAAACAAACCATTGCTATAACCTGCGAATATTATGCTCTGACTTCTCATAGAAGAGCAAAATGTCATCGTTTCCTCTCAGAACCAGTACTAGTAGCAAGGAACAGTAGATCTTTGACATAGCTGATATTGTCTGTACCACCAACCGTAGATTCCAATTATCATTGCTACTTAATTCTCCGCTGCTATCACACTCTTCGATGTTTACAACATTTTTTTGGTAGTTCACGGACAATAATAATTATTTTGTCTCCATGTCGCGTGCTTCATATGGCGCACCGCGTGCTTGACTTTTGATGTGTAGGCCTGTCAAGGGTATATCGAGCACGTATTAGAACTCCCAACCCCTAGAACAGATATAGTGGATAAAGCATAATTGTAAACTACAAATGCCATTCAGTTATCAAAAAGCAGATAACAGCAAAAACAAATCACATTAATCGCATTATCATCATCATCAGCATAATGATACTTAAAAAATGAGATTTAATTATAGTAAAGCTTGTTACGAAAATGTAGATGGTGATGATTAGAATAAGAATAATGATATTAAAAGCAATAGTGGTAATAATAGAATGCAGCATTAATAATATCAAAAGTAATGAAATACTGATTGTCGTAATAATGAAAATAACAATGATACTAATGATACGAGTGATAATAATAATAGTAATAGTAATAATGATGATGATGATAATAATAATAATAATAATAATAATAATAATAATAATAATAATAATAATAATAATAATAAGCCTAATAATCTTGAGATATCTATTATAAAAGTAACGGTTACTATTGTTACTATTATTTTTTAATGATAATGCTCTAAAAACTTTGTTTTCTTTTTTCTTCTATCTTTTCTATCTGTCCGCGTCTTGTCCTATCATGCTGGGTTTTAGATAGAAACACAAAAACTGGCGTGGTCAGTGAGCTCCAGGGTCGGCACGTTCGCTAACGCCAAGCACTCTCCCGGCGGAGGAAACGTACAGGTAATCTGGTCAGCAAACACCTCAGTGATAATCTCCCCCAACACCTCAACACCTCAACCCCCCCCCCCCCAAATCCCCAAAACTCCAATCCCCCAAATCCCCAAACCCCAAGCCCCCAAACCCCAAACCCCTCCCCCAATACGCTACTATTAAACAACAACATTAAACAAAAATAAAAATAAAAAATAGACCCACCACCGTTTGCTTTGGCTTGTGCAAGATATTTCTGTAAATGAAGCAGTCGTAATGCTTTCAGGGAAGGAGAGTCTATTTTTTAAAATTTTTTTTTATTTATTCATTTTGTTTATTTATTTATTTATTTTTTATATACAAGTACCCGGATCTTACTCGCAGCTGCGGTGAATAACACATAATTAGTATGTTAAGTTTGTCATCAGAAGCATGCTATACAATCTAAAAAGTACAGAAGCGTAGTTCTGTACCTTCGGCCTTTGTCTAAATCTTGTCAGTGCGATGGCAAGGATCTCTTGCAAGATTATGAAAGCTGCACAGTTGAGTAATGTACTGTACAATACAAGCCTGCTGTAGGTAGGTGTAGTGGTGCCACAGAAAAAAGAAAAGGACAGGAGGTGCGATAGGTTTTTAGGAAAGGATAATAATACAAGTACATGTAATAGTATAGTGGCCATCGTGGACTCTATCTGAACTTACTTATAAGGAACTCATTAGTGTGTGTGGGCAGCATTTGAACAATAAAAACAACACTCTTTCCAACTAAAAGAAATGAATGGTGGTAATGATTATAATAATAATAATATGATACTAATGATAGTGATAATAGTAACTTAAAATAATGATTATAATGATAATGACAGGAATGATGGTGATGGTAATAATAATGAGAAGAAGAAGAAGAAGAAGGAGAAGAAGAAGAAGAAGAAGAAGAAGAAGAAGAAGAAGAAGAAGAAGAAGAAGAAAAAGAAGAAGAAGAAGAAAACCGATAATAATGATATTATTGTAATGATAATTGTCACGTCAGCAATAATCATACTAATTATTATTGTCATGATTATTACTATTATTACCATCATCATTATAATCATTATTGTTGTTCTTGTTGTTATTGCTGTTATTGCTCTTTTTCTTCTAGCTATTAACTGTAAATACTATTTTGGTAACAGCACCATTTGGAGAAAATCACTTCCTAATCATGAGACTTGTTGTTTAAAAATTTGTTAATTTGTTACGTAAAAAGAGAAGTTTCAAATAACTTCTTGAGTGTGGTCAGAGTGAAATGGAGAATGACAATATATACACATTAGATCTATTTAAGTATGCTACTGTTCGACCTCAGACAAATATTTCAGGAAGATCTACAAACAGCAAGCAGCTGACCTACTTTGTTGACCTCTGTCATTGGTCCTCATTTGTTTTCTCCATTTCATCTTTCCTTTCTCACCACCATGCCCCCGGCCTCTGTGTGTATCTCACCGTGCTTTAAGATTGAGTCAAAGAAACTTGAATGGAATGCGGAGTCCAGGGTCAGATCTTTAGACAAAGTCAACCACAGCCCTGGGGGTGGAGACGTAAAGGTTTGTAACAAGGATGCTCATTGGCTCCCTATTAATAGCCTTTTTTAATGGTCGTCTCGATTCATCTCTTTTAAACATTGTAGGTCGATAGCCTAGAGGGATTATGTAACAGTTGCCATTATCAACTTCCCAACTGTCACGATAAAACGCATAAACAATGGGGATACGATATAAACTGCTTTTTAAACTACGAGCAAGATAAAAAGTACGTTGCGCTTGTTCACAGCCAGAGAGAGAGAGGGGGAGGGAGGGAGAGAGAGAGAGAGAGAGAGAGAGAGAGAGAGAGAGAGAGAGAGAGAGAGAAAGAGAAGGTGACGGATAACTGGGAGGAACACAATTTATAAATTGCTAAAGATCGAACCAAGGCAACACTGATATTTAACGTGTTATATTCCTCTTCCTTGTCAATAGTAGGCTTATTAAAACCAATTGATGACTACAAGGGAAAGACTATCGGTATCCAAACCAATCTTTATCTTCAAATTCTCATTGTATCACTCAATGATGACACAACAGATGATGTATGTCTAAAATAACGACTAGATGAATGTTTCAACGGTAGAACACAAAACCTTCTCTGATTTCTTCAAATAAATATTAAATAAACTGGAAGTGTCTGGATCTAGAACGTTTAACAGTAGAAAAATGTGACATCAGCAGTTCATGTTTCCTCTTGCAGTCTTCAATTGTATACCCAGTTATGAAAAACGCCAATTTATCAATTTAATTTTATTTTTAAATTATTTTTTTTTGGGGGGGTGGGGGGGTGTCCCCCCAAAAGAACATATAAATTAAATTTTGTGATTAACTGTGATTGGCAGTCAGTATAAGAATGTGCCCATAAACCTAGATAGCCTCGATGCCCTTATTTTGAACCGTATAATTTAGGACAATGCAGTGGTTGTCATATAAATCGAATCGAGATTTGTGTTCTGTTGCTTGCTATTCGGGTGTTCTAAAATATAATATTAATAAAGTGGTTGAGAGTAGAAGAGGGAAAGGTTAAAAGTGTCACTATTTCCCCGTCAGTGTGAATAAAAATCTTAGAACTAGAACTTGTTTTAGCAGCTAATTTTATTTGGAGTTCTGAGACAGAGTTCATTGGCTTTTGAGTTTTGAGGTTGGCTAAGAAATTAAGGTCCCAGCTTGTTGTACACATAGTCCTGTGCCCATTGGCTTTACTCCGGATATCAAAATTAAAAAGTTATACCTAGCTGTCAAGGTAGACTTAAGCATAGCCTTAATTATTATAGTTGAAGATGGTTTATTCACTTTATTTGCTGAGTAATTAGTAGTCCCTTTTGGGATTTGCACATTTGGTGCTTTTAAGAAGTCATAGTTTCATTCTTCGAGTTGTATCTATGCACAAACATCTCAACGTTTTCTTCCATGTAAAAATGAAATGACATCTTGATATAGCATATATATCTGTATAATATATTTTGAAGCGTTTTCTTGATATTTCCTTTCTAAAATTGTAAATCGAACGGAAATCGTTTGTATAGGACTTTAAATTACTTCTTCTGTAAATTTCACACGTTTTTCAAGCCTATCCCTTAAAGAAAATGACTAAAGGTTTTTTTAAACGAACAAACAGTTTAACCTCATGTTCATCTTATTCCGTCCTTCAATGATCCGTAATCACCACTCTCCTATTGAAATATAACGACATCACCAAGCCCCACTCCAGTACATTTTGAAAAAAAGCAGAGGATACATCATTGTATCGAAAGTAATTCACGCAAAAACTATCATTATTATAGAACAATGTTCATATTATAATATCATTATTATTATTATTATTATTATTATTGTTATTATTATTAGTGTTGTTCTTCTTCTTGTTACTGTTATTATATTATTATGTACAGGTTCAGAAACACACTTTTCTCATCCTCGAAACATGCTTTTGTAGTCTGTTGCATGGAAAAATATACTTTCATGTGAGTTGTGATCTAAACGAAACGTACTGTAGAAGTATGCATTTTATATAAGGATATATAATATAATATATGTAAATTTTCAGCCAAGAACATGTTCTGGATGGCCTTCGAACAATACTCAACTTCCAGATTTTTGTGGAAGCTTTTGATTCGTCTTCATCGGTCTTTTATTTTTCCTTTCCTTATCACCATGTCCCCGGCCTCTGTGTGTATCTCACCGTGCTTTAAGATTGAGTCAAAGAAACTTGAATGGAATGCGGAGTCCAGGGTCAGATCTTTAGACAAAGTCAACCACAGCCCTGGGGGTGGAGACGTAAAGGTTTGTAACAAGGATGCTCATTGGTCTTTATTTATAGCATATTATGGCGGTCGTCAAGGTTCATCCCTTCGTGAGATTAGAACGAGTTAAGATATTTCAAATTTGAATTAAATTGAAACGGTAATTCAAGCGCAAGTTAAACAAATAAAATCTGGGGAAACGATGGTGCTCTCTAACAGTCCAACAGACCCAAGCCTTGAAAAAGAAAGTCAGATCATAGAAAAGAAATCGCAAAAATGATTGCCCTGAAAAGATCTTTAATAATAATAATAACTGAACACTTAAACTTAGACTTAACTAGGGCATGATATAGTTAGACTTAATTGAATTATAGTATATTTAGGCTTAATTTAATCGTACAATGTTTTGACAAAATAGACTTGATCGAATCAAGTTATGTGTGGACTTAAATGACTGTTTTTTTTAGATACACGCACGTGCCATTTGTAAAGATGCTTGTGATGTAGATGCAAAGTAAAGGATTTCAACATTTTACGGAAACAAGAGAGCGATGGCGAGCATAAGCGGACGTACACATACAAAGAGAGAGAGAACGAGAGAGAGAGAGAG